TGAGTACTTTCGGTTGTATAGTTGTCTGGATGTGTCTTGGCTGTTAAGAGCACGACCTGTTCAAATCCGCCGGAACACCACCCTTGTTCTGAAGAAGTCTGTCCTGTGTGGTAGTACACCAGTAATGTACGGAAAGGCGCTGTGGGAGACTGGCTAAGTCACGAGAGACACTGAGACACAAACAGAAACGTTGTGAAAGTCACGATAAAAGTGTTAGAGGAACCAGAACTACCACACATATATTTCAGTAAGCATTTATATCAGGGGGCTGAATCTGCAGTCTGCTGTGACTTGTAATATGTCTGGTGTGCCCATCACCTTCTCTTTATCTCGTACCAGTTTCGCAAAAGATCAATAAATAAAGAAAGAGAAGGCAGCACTTGAGTTTTCTTCCCCCCCTGTATTAAGAATATAGGTTTTTCCAGTGTCCTGATATTTCTAAAACCTTGGAGAAGCTACAAGGGGCTGGAGGTTTGCTCTCGGTGTAGCCTGGCTCTGCACGACCCTGCCTGTGGGGCAGATTCACAGCCCGACAGCCCGGACTGCTGGACAACCCCAGCTCGCTGGGGCGTCACGTCCCCTCGCCACATCCCGTTTGTGCCACGCCTCGCTGCTCGGCTCAGATCAATCGTCAGGGCTGCGTTTTGTCAGCCTCCGCATCGTGCTGCAGCTGGAATGGGACGGAAGACACTGGGCCACTGACTCGGGGGATATGCGATTCCACAGGCTCATTTCTAACACACCCGGCTCCAAATTACCACAGTCCGCCCTCTGTGCTCAGAAACAAACACAAAGCAGCTAAAGACTGCGGTTGGATCTATGAAACCACTCTGTAGAACCTGACGTTAGTATCTGCAGTGTCCACATTGATCAAAACTCAATTTCCCTCCTGACTGTATTCAGATAAGCAAGAATTGACCCATAGATTTTCACTGCGCTGTTTAACCAAATGTATAGATGTTTACTCGTGTTTCTTGCAGAACAGCACCGGTTTGTTTTCACAGCAAATTGAAAAGAAAGGAGGCTTTGGCAGGAGATAACATTGCCCCACAGTGGAGTAAAAAACAGGCAGCTGCCGGGAGTAAACGCTGCCCTTTGAGAATCTCAGGTTCCGGCACAGTGGGCAGCAGAGCTGTGACAGAGGAGGCTGGGAAGGGGACCAGGGTCAGTGAAAGGCCCAGAGTCCTTACTAGAGGCCTGCTGGGTGCTGGGGACGGGGGGGTATTAGGACTGTGGTGCAATGGAATACTAATCCTGGGCAGCAGCTCTTGCTGTACTGCTCATTGCTCATGACAGGAAGCCCCCCCCACGCACCACCACCTCCCGACAGGCCCCTCGCAGTCACATTGTGCCAGGAAAGTGTTTGAAATGCAGAGTGGTCTCCATGGCAACCAAATCCTCTGTTCCTAGCCAGTCAGGGCTGGGGGGCAGAGTAGAGGCTTTTATCAGCGTGAAGGGAGAGAGAGAGAAAGAGAGAGAGGGGAGAAAGAAAGAAACGGTACGACAAGGGAATACAATAGAAAGGACCGTTTATGTTTTTTTTTTTATTTTTGACTTAAGCAGGAAAAACACCGGGAATATTGCTCGTCTGAATCCAGGCGGATCAGAGATGCCTCAATCCACGAGCTTCTCTGATGTCGAGAGCTTCCCCAGAGTGTGCCTGTCGCCCCGGCGATTTCCTTCTCCTGGCGCTGCTGCAGCAGCTGCCCGACACGCCCCGGAGGAGCATCAGACATCCGCTGACAGCCATCAGTCACACTGGGCTGAGTGCTGTAGTTCTAGCACACAGGACTGGATGCTTTCTGAGTCACAGTGTTCAGGAGTGGCCTGAAAGACACGTGTGAGGCATGACGGAGGAGCGCACCTCAGTGCAGTGTAAGAAATCTGTAGGATAGGTACTCACTGCAAACCCTAATTAATATTAGGGTTTGTAACTTGACTCCAGTTAACTGAGTAGTGTTGTAGCCATGCAGTTTTATAGTGAGATTCTTTCGTTGGGAGAGTAGGGATGTCATGAGATCTTGCGCTATCTACAGTCACTGGACAGTTACTGACTTCTTCAAACTGCTCCTCTGTGTCTGAGAGAGAGGCGAGTCCGATGTCAGTTGTGGTGACATGTGAGCTGCTCTGTCCATCTCCTTCGTTAGCAGCCATGACCGGTGTGCTTCACCCTGCAGTCCCTCCGCTTCAATCAAATTAATTCAGTCTCCTAGCCTACACTGCTCTCTGTGTCTTTGAAAGGACATGTTAAACCCCTTCATCTCGCATGTTTTTAACTTTTTCCAATCTTGCCTCGATACCGCCAGCCCACGGCCCAGCCCGTCATCACAAAACAGAATTGTGTGTTTGTGCCGGAGTGAAATTTGCCTGTGGATGTGGGGGTTGTGTTGTGTGGGTGCTGAGTAACTGGAGCAACAAGGAGCAGTATGTGTGGAGTGATCAACCAACTGCCTGTATTGTCAACCCAGTGGAAGGGAATGACTGTGTGCAATTATACATGAAGTAAACCGATTTCCAGCTTAGTCACAGGCGGCTGTTCTTTCCTGTAAAATTGAGTGTATGCTGTGTATCAGATCTGCAAATGATCAAGAACAGACATCTGAAAGGATTTGTTAAAAAAGAATTAAAAACAAGTTACGTGCTCCGAAGAAAAATGTACTGTATCTTCAAACAGAATCATTTAAAAAAGTGTATGCATTCTCTTTGGTGGTGAAAGAAAGGGAAAATCCCATCAGTTTTTATTTTCATCAGATAGTCGGCAGCCCTTAAAAACAATCTTCTAGGATGTAATGGAATGGAATGTATTTGACACAATAAATAGTGAAGAGGCTTGGATGCTGGAGTCTGGTCGCTAGCCCCCACAGTGACCTCGTCTACAGCGAAGGCTGCATACTTGGTAATATTCTGATTTCAATAGCTGAAGCGAAATTATATATATTACAGCCCACCACCAGATGAGCTCAGTTGGACTTGACAGTGGGAGAAAATTAGCCCTAGAGCAGGCAGACACCACGCATTTCATCATGAAAAAATCATTTTGCCTTTTATTTCTAATGAAAGGAGGTTCTGTCCTGGTTTCTGTGCTCTTATAATTAAATGGTAAGCAGCGTATTCTCATCTGTAAGCAGTAAAACAACCCTACGTCCTGGGCTGAAATGGATTCACTTGTCCCACAGTCTTAAATACCGGGGCCAGTTTTAAAGTCTTTCAGCCATTTGGCAAACAGAGTTGTTATGTTTAACGTCTTCAGGGCTTCTGGTCTAGAAGCCCCAATTGACCTCTCATTCAAATGGACTGGACTAGAATGACCCTTTGCGAAGAGTTTTTCTTGGCGTGCGCAAGTCTTTTAAAAACTCCTGTCATGGCAGAGGGAATTGGCCCAAAGATGGACAGAGTTACTGTAGGAAATCTGCAGTTTACACGGCCAGCGTGAATTTGGTGCAGTAGTCCAGGGAATGACCTGCAGTGCTGAACTGGGATGTGTCCCAGCCTGCCGGGATATTGCCTGGTGCGATCGTGTCCTTTGTTATGGGTTGAAGATTGTGAATATGTATATGTGAGGTAAAAGACAGCGCTGGTAACGAGCACTTTCCTACACCCCCACACTCCCACTTATCCCCAGAAGAACGTGGCGAGTCGCTCTGCTGAACCTGCCAGCAGAGTAGTTCTGTTTTTCCATCTCTTTATCTTGCTTTCAATTCTTCATCTCCTCCTCCCCTCCTTTCTGCTTGCCTTGTTTTTTTCTTTCAGGGGGGGATGCTGTGCTTTCTCAGATGAAGCGACACAATGCACACATGCAGATCGCATCTTAGTTGTGCATCCCAATAACAGATACAGAAGGAGAAAGTCTAATTTGCCTTTTGTTGCTGTCTGGGGTTTTTTATCGTTGTCGATGAAGAATCCGTATTGGCGGCTTGGAAAGCCACGTCCGACAGATAGGGATCTGTTCCTGCCACATTCTTATCGTTTTGAATTTGCTCGTTGTCTCTGTGTGCCAGTGCACTGCGGAGACAATGGAATCACGTGGCATGCTGAAACAGAGAGAGAGGGAGAGAGAGAGCTTTGCGTCGCCACAGATGATACCTGCTGTAGATGTGTTTAATTAGAGGTGGGGAGCCAGTCAAGTGCTGCTGACAGGGATATTGCAGTCTCACCCTCGAGAGGGGCAGCCTATTTTGTGAGAAAAAAAAAACACCTTTAGAAAGCTGCCAATGTAATGTTCATCCTGGATTACAGAAGAGGTAAAATCTGGTGAAATCAGGTAAAATCAGAATAATATGAAATAGGGCACAATGAAGTCATAATAAGCGCAGTCTTTAAACACAGCAGAGGAGTCAGGGAACAAAACCCTTTAGGGACAAAGACTGCGAGGCGAAGAATGTGTCAGGTATGACTTAGATGAGCTTAAATTCAAAATGCTGTGGAAAGTTGCCGTCATAATCTTTCAGTAGGAGTGACACTGAAAAATACACATTTTTCAGCTAATTCCATTTGCATTTGCATTCCGTTGTTTTAAACATTCTGTACTACAGCTTGTCAGCTTGGGTTATTCTGTTCATTATTGCGAGTTCTTGAAAGGCTGAAAGCACATCCCAGCACATCTAGGAACAACTGAAGGATTCAGGCTATTCTCCTCTGCTGTGTCTCCTCTACAGTTCGTTTCTACCTCTCAAGGGTTTTGTGCTGTGCCTCATCACCTGTGGGACACAGGGGCTGATACTTAACCTGCCAGGCAAAGCCAGAAAATCTGGAGAGTTGTAAGGATATTCAGACCTGCACCTCAGGTGCCTGTGCAGTCAGCTGAGGGGAAAAGGTAACACAAGTAAATGACACAGAGGAAGAGTTCAGATTTGTGGCAGACACTTTCAGAACCAAACCAAATAACACCGTATTTATATGAATGAATTCTGTTTGTGTCAGAGCTGATGCCTCTTTGTTGTGCACTGGCTGAACCTTGCCTTTTCTCTCTAAACGTTTTTTTTTTTCCCACCCTGTCTCAGGATAGCAGGCGCTTACTATGACAACGGAGACGGGATCGGAGTCGGAGGTGAAGAACGCGGCGGAAGAGCCTCCTCAGCAGAAGGGGGCGACAATGAGCTCACAGGACACTGCAAATGCTGATGGCAAGAAGGCCAAGCAGGTAACGTCTTACCAAGAGCACCTGGGAGAGATTGTGTCTTTGTACCTCAGGTGGTCCTCACAGTTGACAGTGAGCACTGCTGACGAAATACTGAATTGAGTTTATCCATGTATTAGTCTTGTGTTATACTTGTTCTAGTCTTGCTGAAAGGGGGTGCAGTGATCCTTCAGTCCTCTTCTCAATCATCAGTGAAATACTCAAACCAGCTACAAAGACTTTCCTGAATACGTCCCTCTCTCAGCTGAGCAAGGCAACACAATACATTATATTAATTCCCCAGTTCCTGACCTCACCTCCTGCAGTCATAACATCTCTGTGCTCTCCTGCAGGTGTGCATTTCCTTTAACTGCTGTTGTTGCTGCTTATTGTGTCTAAGTTGGTTGCTAAAATGAGACCAGATGTAATTTTCCCAGTCAACTCTAGATTTCCCAGCAACATTCCCTTGTGCACGTATGAATAACTTAATACAGAGACTCAATGAGACTCTGAAATTTGGTCTAGTTCCTGTCGGCTTAACGTCTGCTGGTGTCATGCCTGTATATGTACAACTCAGCCGGATACCCCAAGTACAAGTGCCATCAGTTTGCCTTTTCTGTAAAAGCTATCCTATAGAACAAGCAGTGGCAGGTCAATTGCAATCTAGTGAACTCTGTTATTTGCAGTCAGGGTGCAGCACTGACACTGTCCTTAAGACAATCGATTAGTATTCTGCTTCTTCAGCTTTTGAAACCGTCAATCCCAGTTTCCTGCTGGATCAGACCGAAAATTGTCTTAGGGATCGTTTGTACCTTGTTGGCATGGCTTCTGTTTTGCTACCAGGAGCCAGTTTGCAGATCTTTACGGTATTAAAAATGAAGTTGTTCAGCTTTGTCAAGGTGGCCCTCAAGGCGCTGTGCTAGGACCTTTACTTCTTCAGATTTTCACGGCGTCTCTTTGTTCAGATTTATTTCCAGGTCAAATCTAGCACTGTCGTGGTTTCGGTACTTTACAGGTGCCAGTCTGCCACTGAGACACGGATGCAACAGAACTTTAAGTCTAAACTGTGCCAGGAGGCTCTGTTCATAGGCTCACAACAGCTTTGCCAAGCTGATGACTTCAGTGTTGTTATTAACCCTGTGTTGTCATTGGAAACTTATGGTCCCAATGTCACAATTTCGTCCGTTTGTGTAACATTTGCTTCCTTGCACTTGTCTATCTGGTGCTAAAATACTGTTTAAATCGCTTTCTTTGGCGCTGCCCTGCTGTGACACGGACACCTGTGCTCCTGTACTTTCTGTAGTTTTTTTTTCTTTATTCCTTATTGGTTGGTTATTTTCGTTGTTGTTGTTTTGCTATTTTTCTTCTTTCTTTTGGTTCTTGTTTATGTTTGCTTTTTTTAAAGGTGTTGTAGCATATCTAGTTTACTAAACTACACAACACTGTCACGAACAGTTCTTTCCCGGCCCTCTGCAGACGACACGATCCGGAAGGGAGTGTGGAAACGCTAGGAAAAAGTCATGCAGGAGAGGGTATGGAGACAGGGGGCGTTGTCAAGGGGTGCAGGTGTCCAGGGGGAGTGAATCCGGGGCGAACTATCCATGAGTTAATCCAAACGGGTCATTCAAGACAGAAGGTAGAGTCCAAGGCCAGGGGATCCATCCAGGAAATAAAACCATGAACCGGGTCGGGACCGGCATGGGGAATCGGGAACAGAAGGTTAAAACCATAACGGAGCCAGACACTCACGAAGCGGGATTCAATGAGGAACCAGGAGTGACGTCTGCGTCTGGCTTTTAAGGTGGAATGGAAATAAGAAACAGGTGCAGGTAATGGGGCAAAACAAGGAAGGGCTGCAGTATCCTTAAGAGGAGGAGTAGCGATCGTGACAAATACTATTTTCTTATTTTTTGTAATGGAGCAATGTGCAATGTTTTTCTTTCTTCTCAGTTTTTTTGTTTGCATTCTGTCTAAATGTACAGGAGTGCTGTGTGTCCATAAAAAAATCCCTCAATAAAATCTTATATAATTAAGTGTACACTACTGAAAAGTTTTTCTTAAAAGTGTTTCTCCCCTATTCTGGAAATTGCACAGGGTCCTTTCTAAGTTTCTTCTGCACACTTATTAGACTCAAAAATAATTGCATAGGTGTAATTCAGCTCTTAGTCTGGGATCTGCTAATTCAAGCCTTCTTTATCTGCAAAGGACCAGGCTTCACACAATGAAAGATACAGCTTTCTAGTGTGCAGCACCACATCTGTGGAGCTCACTGCCCCCAATCCATTAGAGACTCTGTGACTGTCAACGTTTTCAAGACTGGCTTAAAGACCTGTCTTTTCTCTAAAGCCTTTTAATGTATAATTTATTTTACTTCTGGTTCCAATAAGTCAGTCTGCTGTGCCTTTTCACTTTTATTTTGCTTCTGTTGTGCATTATACAGCATGTGAGCAATTGTACGGCGCTTTTGAGTTTCTTGAAAAGTGCTCATAAATTAAAATATTATTACTGTCTGACATCTGTATATCATCTGGACTATATCCAACCATCATTCCATTATCTTAAAGACTGTCATTCCTGGCAAGGGTCTCGGCCACCTGGAGCTCATTCTCGAAGCACAGGTCACCTGTTTATCGCAGGGGCATCTGGATTAGAAATGAATGGATTTTACATTAGAATCAGTAGAATGCAGGTGTGCTTGTTTCTTCTGTTTTCTAGATCTTTTCTGCAACTGAGCACAGTACTTCCTATATGTGATTCTGCTCTTTGCGAATATGTTGTATTCTTTTTGCAAGTCAGAGGGGTTTAAGCATTTGCAAACGTTTTTGGAGGGAGGGAATGTTTCAGTGTTTCTCTGGTTTAAATGAATCCAGAGAGTTCCCTCATATATTTTGACATTCGAGTTGAATCCCGAGTTTTCGGGGGAGATGCTGACCAGATGTCACTCTCCTTGTCTGGCAGTTCTCACCAGATGTTTCATAGCATCAGTCAGCCAGTAATCCAGATGTTACTCCTGTCTCTTTTCCTGTAGCACACTGTATCATTAGGTTAAAACGATTTGTAAAATTTGATAAAGCCTTATAATAAACTGAACTGACAATACAAATTAAAAAACAGTAAAAACATAGCATAACTACAACATTGCACAGTCTCACCGACAGAAGTGGAAATTTGTCTGATAACACGTATGAGCCTCTAAATGAACTTAATTAGATTTGTAGTCATTTTGAAAATGAGGAGCGGCAAACTTCAGTTTTCTTCAGTTCCGCTTGGAATGGAATAACGTTGCTTGCTGATGTAGGACAAGTGTCATCTTGATTAGGGTGTGACAGTCCTCACCTTTCTTCCAAAGGATCATGACGCCAAACATCTGGATGACAAAGACCACCGGGATGCAGATGAAGCCTCGGAGAAAACAACTCCCAGCAAAGCCCCCAAATCCCCTCAGAAGACCTCCAAAAGGCCCAAAACTGTTCTCTTCAAGGTGACTCTGCTCGACAGCTCCGAGTATGAAGACGAGATTGAGGTAAGTGCTGGGTCGATAGATACCAGAACATTGTTGAGATGATGTTGGCTTATTGACTATATTTTCAAATGATATGAACACAGCTCATTTTATTTTTCAAGAATTGTAGCTGGAACTTCTTGGCTTTTCTGAATTAACACAGTGCAATTGGCAAACTCACCAGCCGCAGGCCACTGTGAAGCAATTGTTCATCCCGATTCGGGAACATGGAAGTGACCTCTGTAGCTATGGGTCACAAAACCAACGTGCTCTCATTCTAATTTCCAGTGGTACTCTATTTTAGCAAAATATAATAAGGACTGGGCAAATCATAATGAAATAAGGCCTAGAGGTGTGATGAAGCAAGATATAGTCTTGTATGGCAATGTCAGTGCGTAATGTGGAAAGCATGACGAAACACCAAAAAACAGCCAGAGAGTTCACACATGTTCAGAGCAACAAAGAAGAAAGTTCAATCAGAGCGGTAAAGTACGCAGGCTGTCAGTTAGGCTACATTAGAGAGTGTGTTGTAAGCCGCTCTTTTAAACAAGCCTGGTGGAATTTGTCCAGCTGAAACAGGAAGAGGAAAGGCTGATTGGAAAGGCAGCAGAGTTCATGACACAAGAAGGTCTGCTGTCTCTCCCTTTGTGCACGAGCGGAGCCCGTTCAGAGTCCCGCTGGTGTGCCTTCTGACAGAGTGGAGCCCGGCTTGTCTGCACGGAGGTGTCCTTCCTTGTTTCACGCAGGTGGTGCTGTTTGAGTTGACGGTGCCTAATCCTAAGTGCCGCCACACAAGGGTCCCCCTCAGACTCTGGTAGGGATGCCCCCATGCAGTGCTGCAAAAGAGTATCATAGGTCAGCACTGGCAATGGCAGAGGTGAAAATGAGTTTGGTAAGAGGACACTGAAAGCATGGTCCTGCAGATGAGGAATCTAAAGGTGCATGATCTCAGCTATGCTGTGTATAGCTAGTCTGCTTGTCATGTGCTGCCAGCCTACAGTAGATCTATGAGTTTCTCTGGCATCATTGCTTTTTTATCCTCGGTGATGTTGGATGTGTTAGGTAGGAAATGAAGCCTGCTGGATTCCTTGACTCTTTGAGGCAAGATCAGATCACAGCAGCGCACCTTCATAAAGCTCTCAGGACTCGGACAGTCTCCTGGGACCCTTCTGTGGTCAGGGAGCAGCTAAGGTTGCCATGGCGGCAGTGGAACTCAGGTGCTGAAGCCTGGAGCCGAAGTGGGCCCCGCGGACACAGCGTCATCGAAACAGAACCTGAACAGAACAGAACTGGACTGAGCGAGAAAGCATTCGTGTCAAGGCTCTCCCCCTACACTGCCTTTGTGAAGAGCGATGCGTTATTCTATTACCAGCTGTCTCCATTTTCTCATTGGAGCTGAAATAGACTTTGCAGAGGTTGTCTGTTCCATCTTCATCTTCAACCCCTCCCCAAGATGCATGTGAGCAAAAACAAATACTGTACGCAGCAGGATTTGGGGGAATCTCTTCTTTTACCATTGTGCAGGGTATCAATGGAGTACTGTGGTTTTGTGTGTTTGTGTTAATGGGAAGATGATAAGGTTACAAACAAGAGAAAATAAAAACGTGTGTGAGGCCTTATGCTGCCTGAAGCCTGTCTGTGTGGAGAAGCACAGTCTGAAGTGTCATTTAGCAGCCTGACACTACCATGTTAGTTCTGATTGCTACCACTCTGTCTGTGCTTCAGAGATACACTCTTGGAATGAATGCTAAACTCTCTCCTCTGTCCCACGCAGTGTGCTGTGAGAGCTTTTTGTGAGCCTTTTTTTAATCTCACCAGAAACAATATAACAATCCTATTAGGTATGTTATTAACAGTTCCTGCTGAAAGGAAACAAAACATCTACTGTAATACTCTAGAAACACAAATAATAAAGAACTGAATCTCTGTTCTACTCCCCCAAGACCTCAAACCCCTCAATTTGCTCTTCCTGTGCCATTCAGCAGATTGTACTGTAGGGCTGCAATATCAGCTCTGCCCTCACGGTGTCCTGCTGAGGGCTGAGTAATGGCAGTGTTCAGGCCGCAGGCTGGCAATTTGTGTCACTCTCCCAGCGAGGGACTGTCGCGAGTGAGGGTTAATTAACGGGCCTGTGACAAATGCTAAATATCTGAAGTTACCCCTGGCATCATGCGGAAATGCTCTTTCTTCAAACTACAGTGCACTTCCCCTTGGAATAGCTCAGTGTGTATGTTCAGGGACAAGGCTTGACGTGTTGTTCTTCTGTGCCTCTTAGTCCTGCTGGGCACTACACTGAACTGCGTGCTGCTGTGTAACACCTGACCTGAGGATTCCCTTTGCACTGTAGCTGATTTTACACTATGGCGGTTTCTTGATTTACAAACCACACTACAATGAGTTCTCATCCCTCTGCCCTGTCTAGGGCTGCTAGCTGTCTGGTTTTGACACAGTCCGGTTTTAAACCCCAGCTCCGATGTTCTTCACCCATCTGGTCTCCCTCCTCCCTCCACGCCCCGAGAACTGATCCTCTGGTATTGTTGAAGGCCTCCAAATGCAGGGGAAAGCATTGCGAGAGAGCCCAAGAGAGAAGAGTGAAGAAGAGATGGAGTCGTGGAGGATCAGTACCTCTCCCTTCATTCCCACCAGAAGCAATCAAACTGGGAAGGTTTTGAGTGGGAACCTTCCTGTGCTTTGCCCACAAGGTCACATTCATTGTAAATGTTTGCTATTTTACACCAAGGTTCTGTACAAACGCAGTGAAATAATGGGACAGAAAGTGGCAGAGGTGTGAGAGAATCCATGACTATGAACT